GCGCCGTGGGTTTTGGGGCATTGCCCGGCCCTACTGCTGGGTGGGTCCGGGATGGGTCGGGGGGTCTGGGATCCCTGGGGCGCGTTGCCCCCAAGGGGGGGCCCGGGTTCTGTGGGGGGTGCTGCTTGGGGTCTGGGCCGGTATGCGCCCGGTTGTCTACCCCTGCTGCTGTGGCCTCTGGTGTGCCGGGGTGCCTCGGGTCCTGTTGGGCTGGGGGGGCATGGACATTAACAGCTATGGCAGATGCTTACCCCTGCAGGGGTTTGCACTCTGTAAGTGGAGGGGGAGTAGGAATGATCTTGGCCTGGATGTCTTTTGTCGCTTGTGTGGTGAGTAGTTTGAATTTTATTGAAGGGGAGGGATTAGATCTCCGGAGGGGGGGTGGGGGGTGGTGATAGAGGGAAGAGGATTTCAGAAGAGCTTCGGGTCTGGCTCCCTGTCTTGGTCCTGGGCCGTGCTGTCCCCTGGTGGGGCGTCGTCCGGGATGGGGGCTCTGCGTGTTGCGCGTGGGCTGGCCGGCCGGGGTTGTCCCCCCCCCTTATTTATTTATTTTTTGTATTTATTTATTGATTAATTTATTGATTTTTTTTTTAGATGGACAGGATGGGGGGAGGGTGGTGGTGTCGGACCTGTGCCTGGCTGGCTGGTGGCTCCTGCTGCCGGCCCCTGGCCCTCGGGCTATGGTGGTGAGACTGGTGGGGCCACTCTCGGGAAACGGGGGTGCCTATTGGAGTCAGCGGTCACACATGTAGGTTTTTGGGAAGGATAATGCTCCATGTTATAAAGTGAATCATCTCAGACTCATTTCTTGAAACTTTTCCACTAAAGTAATTGTAAATTGAGCATATTGACAGACAACATTTTATTTTTTATCTCAAATTCAAATTTTTTTTTTAAATAATTACTGCTCTAAATGTATTGCTCTGTCAGCTAAAGATCTGTTTTGGTCTCTATACTTTAATTAAATAAATCATTTCAAGCTAAAATGTAAGAGTCTATACTGAGCCTGATCTCTTTGTATCAGAGATTTTCTTACCTTTTAGAAAAATGTCACTTGGGGTAAAACTCCCCCTGCAACCCTGATTTGCATTTGTATAGCTCACAGCATTTTCATTTACATGTTAAAGCCTCCCCTAGAATTCCATGGGGGGGAGGCATGGGGGGAACACTGCCTAAGAAAGCCCACGACAATTTCTGACAATTTCTGGGAGTTTTCGGCGATGCCTGCAAATTACCGTAAACTGCCATTAACCTGAACTTCCACAACAATCTACAGTGCCGCATATTGACGAAAATCCCACTTTTCATGCAGTGATGGTTGGTGATTATGTAGCCCACTGCATTCATAATATCTGCTTCTTGTTTCAGATCATCATCATATGCATGTCTCAACATCAGAACAGTCTCAGGCATTCCCCTCAATACATTGTTTCTATCTAAATCTGCATCATGTTAGACGCGTTTCATCATGGCGCCCCCCATGATGAAACACGTCTTCCCATTGCACAGGTGCTCTCGGCACCATTTTCTATAGCTGCAGGCGCTATGGAACTTTCAATGCGCGCCACTTTGTGGCGCCCCCTTTTTCATTGCTACTAGCTTATGACACCCCTTTTTCCATTGCTATAGGCGCTTGGCGCCCTCCATCATCCCTACAAACGCACTTGGCACCCTCCATCTACCTCTGCAGGAGTATCATGGTGCATAATATCTGTTGGGGTGGAAGTTTCTGGCAGCCTTTCTCAATCGCTACAGGCTCTCATGCTATCATGACGCCTTTCATCTTTGCAGCAGGCAACTCATGGTGCTTTCATCTTTACGGGTGTTTATGGCGCAGCAACGTGGCAGGCATTTTATGCTGCTTCTAGCATTACGCCGGGCATTTATGCCGCCTTCTAGCATCACGGCGGGCTCTTTATTTTAGCATCGCTGCGGGCACTCCATGGCGCCCGTTGTGACATACGCATCCTACTTTTGTCCATTACCGAAACACAACATGTCACCCTTTTGCCATCACAGCAGTGCATTATGGCCCCCAGCTCTTTGCTTCAGGCGCATCGGACTTTTAAACATCACAGCAGCGCTTATGGCGCTCTCTTCTAGCATCGGGGCAGGCGCTCCATGGCGCCCGTTGGAACATACGCATCCAACGTTTATCCATTACTGCAGCACTTCATGTCGCCCTTTTTCCATCACAACCAGTGCTTTATGACCCCCAGCTCTTTCGCCCAGGCCTATCAGGGTTTTAACTATTGCAGTAACGCTTATGGTGCTATCTTTTTATCGCAGCGGGTGCATTAAGGCTCCTCAGCTCATTGCTCCAGGCACATCGCACCTAAACCCATCCATGCGTTCTCATCACAAGGCGCTTTGCTTCGAACCCCTTAGCATCATGGATCATGTATCTCGACTTAAACATCTCGCTTAAACATCATGGCTTGCTTGTTTCATCTTCGGTCCTCACGGCTTGCGGGTTAACTAGATCATTGCGTCCCCATCTCACTTTCTCAGGTCATCGTGGCTCGCGTATCATGTCCCAAGCTTATTGCTGCACGGGCTGTGTTCTCTGCTCGCACACTAAGCTCATTGCTACGTAGAGCTCGTCTGTGGATGTAGTGGGCCAGAACGCTGCGATACAGCTTCATTGCTGCTATCACCACAGTCATCACCGAATCGTTATTTTCAAGCATCATTGTCTCCTTGCTTGGTCAGCTATTTTGCCATTGTGCATTATCCCCAGCATTGCTTTCATTCCAGGCATCTTGATCTGGCTATTGCATTTCCTTTCCCCTTGTCCAGGTTCACTGTTTAAGGGCTGCCTTTTGACTTTTCTTTTGTACTATCATCATTCTGTCTGCAGCATGCTTCAATTTTAAGGATGATGCCCCATCCATAGGTTTTTGGCAGGTACCTCCAATAGTTGGTTCGTAGTTCATGGCTGCTACCCTCATAATTTCTAATGCTCTGCTTAATGATGTTTACCCATTAGCTGTAGCTTGCATCGTCGGGCCATTCATTCAGAATGGAGCAGTCACAACAGCGGTTTGTGGTTTCTCCTTGACTTTCAGCAACAGGGCTTCTGTTCTTCAGCCTATGCCTCATGTATCCGCTCTGAGCATGCATTCATCCATCCAAACTGTTCAATGTTCTCTCAGCCTTTAAGGGTAAGCTAGCTACAAATACTGGTGGTGGTTCCAAAAGTCATTTATATCCTTCATCAGATCTGAATGTTTGATTATTTCAGTTTGGTTTATAACCCATCACTCATCTCTCTGCTGTAACTTGTCATGCCAGATGGTTGTTTACCAGGCTCACTTCTATCATTCATCCTGTCATTCATCCCCTCATTCTTCCCATCATTCATCCCCTCCTTTATCCCATCACCATTCACCCCCCCCTACCCCACTTCACCTCACTTAACTTCACCTCATCTCACCTCACCATCCTTTAACAAACTTTTGGTAGGCCTTTGCAGCAACTGGCCCTGGCCCTCTTTTTAACACATCTGATTCAGATGATTGCAGGTTAGCAACGCTGTCAGACATCAATTGAAATTAGGTGCCCAGAAATGTGGGAACCTCTAATAATGCAGGACAGTGTGCCTTAAGGACCCTGGTATGAAAGGAGTAAAGTGATCAGCAGAACAATGATTTACTTAAATAATCTGAACTGAAGCTTCTTGCTCTTCTCCTTGGATGTTCCACATCAGGACTTTCTGTTCTGTAATCAGTATATTTAGATGCATTACCGATTTCATCATTAAGGGTTTTATCCAAGCATGAATACATGTAATATAGATAAAAGGCTGTGTAAAATTGCATGTATATATTGGTTACATTTTTAACTGGTTACAATTTTAACTGCTTTCAATCTGCTGACATTTTAATTGGTAAAAAACACCAATACTAGTTAATAAACTTCAGCATAAAAGCTACATGAGTTAAAAACAAGTAGAGTAAGTATCTGCATTAGGCTACATAAACAAGAGCATGTTAAATAAGTAGTGAACAAGCTCTAAGAAAAACAGGCCACTGTCATCAGCAGCCTATGGGGTGGATGGAGGTGGGGAGTTTTTCAGCTGGTTGACATCCTGGTCTTTGGGTAGTAAACTGCTAAATCAATCCAGGTGTATCTGTCTGCACCCTGCAAGACTACAGGACACTTCTCCTAAAGCTCCTAATGAGGGTCAGGGTTAGGTTTATCACTACACAACATGCCTCTTTCCTGCAGGCTGCAGACACACTCCTCTATATTAATTCACCCAGAGTTAAACTAAATGCAAATCTCCACAGTTCATTCTTCTTCTTCTTCACAACCACAGCTGTTTCTATTGCTCCAGTTTTTAATATCTAACAGGTAATGCAGCTAAGATAAACCACAGTCTCCAAGTTGAAGCTACTGCATGCTCCACTAACTCATTCGGGTGTTTCATGTGAATAAATGAGTATAATTTAACTGGTTAAAGCTGCTTGAATTAATCTAGTGCAGAATCCTTTGGCTTCAGTTTTCAAAAAGTTAACACATTGTTAGCTCTGAATTTATGAATTTGAAAAGCTTTAGGTGAATTTCTGCTGTTGAACTTTAGCAGCTGATTTTTTAAAATATTTGAATTAAGCTGTTGTTGAATTATTGTGATGTTTTTGCGTTTAATTTTCTCACCGCTATCTTCTGCTGGGTGCCTTTTGGATTTCTTTGCTGATTTGATAAACGCCCAGTTTGGATATCCACAGTTTTGGAGAGCATCTTTGATGTGTTTCTGTTCTTTGTGCTTCCCTTCTGTTTTAGAGGGACATGATCTACCCGGTGTTGTAAGGTTCTGATGACTGAGAGTTTGTGTTCCAGTGGGTGGTGTGAGTCAAAAAGAAGATACTGGTCTGTGTGAGTAGGTTTCCTATACACTTTGATGTTTAGCCTTCCATCTCCCTCCATGCTCACCAAACAGTCAATAAAAGGTAGTTTGTTGTCCTCTGCATCCTCTCCGGTGAATTTAATGTGGTCAACTGAGTTGATGTGTCTTGTGAAAGCTTCCACTTCTTTTAGTTGGATTTTGACGAAAGTGTCATCCACGTATCTAAACCAGTGGCTTGGTGGTATTCCATTGAAAGTGTCTAAAGCTCTCTTTTCCATTTCTTCCATGTAAAGATTGGCTACATTTGGTGACACTGGAGATCCCATTGCACAACCATGCTTCCGTCTGTAAAAATTATCTCTGAATTTGAATGAGGTTGTGGAAAGACAAAGGCCCAGTAGGGTGCAGATCTGGTCCGGAGTGAAATTAGTCCTGTTGTTTAAGTCACTATCTTGTTGAAGAAGTGTCCTGACTGTTTCCACTGCCTCTGTTATAGGTATGCTGTTGGGAGCTGGAGAAAATCCCATCTTTCTCCAGCA